AGCAGCTCAAGAACCTTGGGTAGCTCTGGCCCCCCTCATCCCCTCCGCACACCCTTGGGACCCCCCTACCATGCCCCACCACCCCACAGCCAGGCCAGGGTGGGGACGGGAGCGATGGGTTGGCCCCGAGGTGGGGCCAGGCATGTCCTTGGCGTGTTTACAAGCGTGTGTGTGTCGAGCACACGTGGTACCCAGGACGAGGCACCACCATCATGTGTGTGTGTGTGTGTGTGTGTCCCCCCCTTCCCTGTCCCACCTTCGCTGCGCTCCAAGGACCGAGGCGCAGCAAAGCTGGTTCCCATGGGCTGTGGGCAAAGCTCCAAGGTGCTAAAAAAAAAAATAATCAAAAAACAAAAGAAAAAGAAAGAAAAAAAAAAAAGGAAAAAAAAAGAGAGAAATGTGTAATTAGCTTTTAATTATCATCTGGAAATAATTACCAGAGAAGCTGTGCGAGTCACACGCTCTCCATTTCTTCCCGTCTACTGTATTTTGTGTAATTAATGCAATTTAAAGCCTGTGGATCTTTATATTATTTGTTGTTGTTGTTGGTTGTGTCCTATAAACCATTTTCTAAAGGCACTGAATAAAGAAACGTTATCCTCTTGTAGCCCGGCTCCGCACGATGATGATGATGATGGAGTTGGTGGCCAGGAGACCACCCGGACCCCATCCCTGTCACTGCATCCTGCCCCTGCTCTGGTTGTGTTTGTGGCATTGGGGTGGCACAGCCCCTTGTCCCCATGGAGCAGAAAATGGGTCCCACGGGGTATGTACATCCTCAAGGTGCCGAGGACCACCGGTGGGATGGGAGACAAAGCACGTGGTGATGGTGGTGTTCGTTTATGCAGCTGAGACCCAGCCGTGGTGGTCATAGTGGTGGTCATGGTGGTGGTCATGGTGGTGGCCCTCAGGCTCGCACGGTGTCTGCTTCTGGGTTCTTCTCCTGCACCGGCACCTCGGTGGGGAGTTGGCACAGCTCCTTGGCCAGGGCCAGCTCTGTTGGCACCTCACGGCGGCTGTGCTGGATGCCCACGCCAACGGCTGCCAGCAGGTAGATCACCGACAGCAGCGTGAAGTAACCAAAATAGACATAAAACTGGAAAAGAGGTGAGGAGAGAGTGATGATGGCAGCCCCCACCTTCAGCCCACCCCATGAGGGGACAACTGCCATCCTGGGTGTACCCCCCGCCCCGCCCCCATCCCTACCTGGGGATGAACGGACAAGCCCAAGCCCCTCTTGTCGGCCACGATGATGGTGATGATGGTCTTCAGCACGGTGGCGAAGAAGGTGTTGATCCCAAAGACCAGCGCGCAGAGCTCTTTGGAGAGGGAGGTAGCGATCTGGAAACTGGGAAAGTGGGGGAGACTGGTAAGCCCCCAGTGCCAGCCCAGTTGCCAGGGTGGGAGCAGGACCCCAGGGGTACCACGCACATGGCAATGGGCACCAGGAACTGGTAGGAGCCACGGAAGAGGACATAGGCGGCGTAGCACAACCAGATGTTGCTGGTGGTGTTCATGAGCAGGAGCAACCCCGCCTGGAAAGCCGTCACCAGCCCGATCACCAGCTCTGACCACAGCGTCCAGCGGATCTTCATGTAGCCGGCGGCGAAGGATGCAATGGCTCCTGGAGAGGGGATGAAGGATGCTGTGAACACCTCACCAGCATGGAACCACCTTGCATCCCCTCGCCTAGTGACGATCTTCTCATCACCACTGCCCAACACCCCCTGCATCCCCAAAAACCACAGAATCCCAGACTGGCCTGGACTGGAAAAGCCCTTTAAGCTCATCGAGTCCAACCATGAACCCAACACTGACAAGTCCCCGACTAACCCATGTCCCTCAGCACTATGTCTACACC